GCTCTGCTGAGGCTGTGAATCTCCTCCAGAGACGTTCAAGTTCCTGCAGAATGGGAGTCATCTTGTCGGCCAGTAGTTTGGTTTATCCACGGATGTTTATAGTGCATCTATAAATGTCATCTCCCCAGCACCTTGATCACTCATGCAGCCCCATATCATGATACTCTCACCTCTGTTCTTCACTGTGAGGACGATGCATTCACTGTGGTAGTGCTGACCATGTTCACATCAAACATGCTGGACTCCATCTGAGCCCAACAAGTTCATCTTCATCTGACCAAAGAACATTCACCAGGCGTCATTTCATGTTCAAGTTAAATCTTAAAGTTTTGCACTGAAACACAAATAAGCTATTTTTTTTAGGGGGTGGATGTTATAAAGTGTCCTCCATGCTGTCTGAGCTTTACAGAAACTCTGATTTTCATTGATATCTCACGTGCCAAGTCTGCAGCAGCTGTTTTTCAGAGGTAGACTGTAAAAGAGGTTCCCTGTCTGTGGAGTCATTTTAGGAGGACGACCACTGCAGCTCTGATTAGTGGTACTGTGGCTCTTTTTATAGCTGCTAATCTTCTGTATTCTTTTCTGTCTTTTTGAAATCTCACAATCAGATTTTTAACACTCCTCTGACAATTCTTTTCCACATGGAGCCATGATACAAACACACAGACAGATGCAGCCCATAGGTCCGAAACTGAGAAAGTCCTGCTGTTCACAGCTCATTTTATACCCATGTTGATGCAGTTTGACCTGTTGGACTTCGCAGGTGGACCAAACCTATACGTTTCAGCGATCACAGCTCCCTTTTGTTGCGCTGGGTTTCTACTTCAGGGCCTGAATTTTCAATATTGCCTTCTTAAAGCATTTATTTTTGATTGTTCAGAAGAGAATAAACTCCTTATACTGCAATCAAACTGTGCCATTATATACATAAAACACAGTAAAAGTCTAAAAAAAAAAAAGAAGGGACAAGCAGGAGCTTAAGGCACAAAAGAAAACTTTACTCTGTGAATTAGCATGAGGTCGCATTACCCTTTGATGTGAAGCAGATACCTCAGTTCCTCCCTGCGACGTATTGTGATTACTCATTAAGAGTCACACTGCCAAACTTCATCTGACGCCCCGGATCAGGGTTCACTTTAGATTTCATAGATAAGGCGACAAGACGAGGCATCACCTTAGCGGCGAGGCCCGCTTCATCATGCAGGATGACTAATTACTGCTGTGGCGCTGCTGGTGAGCTGCCAGAATACAGAGAAGAACCGCCACTATAATAAGTACAAAAAGTAAATAAATTCTGGCTTATTGTTATTCTTCGCAAGAAATTTATGCTTTCTAACTTCTCTTCAGTGGAACAGGGACAGAAAACAAACAAATGCTTCCAAAGGCCTTCAGAAAACTGCAAATGAACGAAGGCGGTTTGATGCATCACAAAATGCAGCCATTGTGTCGCTGGAAAAAAAAAAGAATGTACCTGCACACAAAACAGGGGCTCTTTGCTCCCGTCTTCTTGTGTGCGCAGTCACACAGCAAAGATCAAAGTGTTTTCTGTTTTTTGTTGCAGGACAATAGTGATTGAGTGCAATTAAGTAGAAAGAGGAAATACTAGAACATGTGTGTATATATATATATGTAGTATATATACACACATACATGGTCAAAAAATAAACCAGTGACAAAGCAGAAAAAAAAGAAAATAAAAGGTATTAGCTAAAGATTATCTAAGATCTGCATTCCAGATGAGACAATAAGTCTGTGGTAACTCGAGAAGTCACCAATTGATATGCTGAGCTCAGCTAACCTTGCCTGAAACTCTAAGTTCTTTGTTGACACAACAGACATGAATCCTTTTTCTCCTTACTTGTCAAATCCTTTTTCTTTTTCTTTTCTTTTCTCCCCAATATCTTGTTTTTTAAAACCCCTCTGGTAAAAATCAAGTTTTTATTTTCATTTTTATTTTGATAATATATCCATGTTGTGTTGTATATATGCTAGAAGATCGTGAACAAAATAAAGAGTTGGTATTTTCACCGTGAAATTTCAGCGTAGGGTGGCAACTTCAAAACACTAATTTATACGTCCAAGGATGAAGAAAACAATCCTGTACGCTTGCATGTTTCATTTTGTATTGATTTTAAGTCATTTTGGAGAAGTTTCTGTAATTTTTTTAAACAAATTTTGAGTCATTTTGGACAAGTTTTGATTCGATGGACGGCTGTGGCTCAGGTGATAGAGCAGTTATTCTCCAATAGGTTGTAGGTTCGATCCCCTCCACAGTCGAAGTGTCCTTGGGCAAGACACTGAACCCAAAGTTGCTCCCAATGGCGGGCAGCACCTCGCATGGCAGCTCTGTCACCACTGGTGTATGAATGTGTGTGTGAATGGGTGAATGAGGAACACATTGTAAAGTGCTTTGAGTGCCGCTAAGGTAGAAAAGTGCTACATAACTGCGACCATTTACCATCCATTTAGATTTTTAGAAGTTTTGTCATTTCAGGTAGAGACTAGCTGGGCGACTGTGTGTAGAGAAGCCTCTAGTCTCCACTCGGTTACTGCAGCTGTGAGGCAAAACCTCAGTTTGAAGAGTGTAATGAAGTGTTTCAACATCAGATTTTGTAATAAACTAAAGTAGTTTAATCTACCTGCAAAATGACAGTTGCACCGGTGTAACCGATGAAAATGTTTTGTTGCACCTGGCAGAGTTTTGGGTGCATGTGCGACAAAAATGGCTGCATGTTTTTTTGAAGACGTACACCTAGGCTAGTTTAAGATATCCATCCATGCATTATCTACACACCGCTTAATCCTCTCTAGGGTCGTGGGGGGACAACCAGGCACACTCACATTCACACCTACAGACAATTTAGAATCACCAATTAACCTCAACATGTTTTTGGACTGTGGGAGGAAGCCAGAGAACCTGGAGAGAACCCACGCTGCACGAGGAGAACATGCAAACTCCACGCAGAAAGATCCCGGGTGTCCTCACCAGGACGCGAACCAGCGACCTTCTTGCTGCGAGACAACAGTGCTAACCACTGATCCACCTTGCAGCCCCTAGGTTAAGGTATGAGGGGTTTTTTTTTGTTGTTTTTTTTTTCATTGAGAAAACTTCTAAATGTGTAGCTCTGATACACAAAGATGAATTTCAGAGGTTAAAGATTTAAACTCTGGAACATCTGATTAATCAAACTCGCCCATGGGTGACTTGAAAGACATTCTTCTCAGAGTAAAATGAAAAATGAGCTTGACTCACTCCCACTTCCACCTGAGATTGGTGATTGCATGCAAACTGAAGCAAATCTCCACCCAGCCTGCAGTCTAATCAGCAGGTAGCTAAAAACTCCTATTCAAAGCAAACTTTTCACTTCTGCTGTAATAATTTTCAAGGTAATTATTGCAGTTTTTTCCTTAATTTGTGCATTCATTTCCATTGTGTTTTTCTGCCCTTTTGTAACGACTCCTTTGTTCTGTATGTGGATAACAGAAGGACACATTGTACATGTGCTGCTGCAGTTATTCTTCTTTCTGCTCCTTGAACTGAATGTATGAAAGTGTTTCTATTGGTTTTAGTCTCACATTTTTGTGCACCTGATTACTTCTGTATTACGCAACGACGATGAAAAGAAAAACATCTTCATCTTTGTTTGTTTCCATGGTGTGTTGGAAGCTTTCGGGCTCTAAATCTTTTTTTACTCACACAGTAAAGACAGGAGACGTTCTGCCGGTGTCGTATTTGCTTCGCTAAATTAAGTAACTGAGTTTAGACGATAATTAAGAGTGTGTCAGAGTCACTGTTGATGCATTGTTGGCTAAAGTAATCATCGGGGCTGCCAGCGCTCACAGAGTGGAATTTATTAATGAAACACCTCCTCCCTCCCACCACGACACAAAACTCGTTTTAATTTAAACATCTCAACTTCCAGGATGAGGCAAGATGAGCCTGACTGAAAGGTAGAAAATGATGCGCAGTGTCTCTTAAAACTATTCTTACAAGTTTTCTGTTGGCACGACTTTCTGTAAGAGAAAGATTGTCAGCAAAGAATTGTGACTGTTGAACCCTCTGAACCACCAGTGGGTTTGAAAGCCACGTTATCTTTTATCCAAAACAAGTC